CTGAATTCACCGCCTCAAAGATCCAGTGGAGCCACTTTACTGACTTCGACCACGGGTTCGTCAAGCTCACGGCCTTCAACCACTCGTCCCTGCTGTTCGAGTACAAGAAGAGCCGCGACGGCAACGTGTACGACCATTTCACGATCTCGCGCGACTACCGGGACATCCTCGCTTGCTCTGTCGACAACTGCCCCCGGACCACACTGGCCTCATGAAGTCTCACAGTCACAATGGTTTTCAGGCAAGGAATTCGGACATTCAGTTTCTTGCAGGGCAGCAGCAATTCAGTTACTGTACTTTTTTTTTAGTGCGGCAATAAATGAGGCGTTTTCTTTTCTGCCTGCATTATTTTGTTGTACCTGCAGGTGAAACTGTGAGTGCCTTTTGTTCTACCCTTAGCTAAAATATGTTTTAGTAGGATGAGGTGCAGTGCTTTGCAAATTTTCAAGTTATTTTTTTATTTTCTTTAACGGACGACTAGCGCCCGGATGTCCGGAACGCGGCGTCCGTCTGGATGCAGCTTCCACACCCGCACCTGACGAACGCAACTCCCTTCACCCCGCGCCAAATCGCGCTCCGAAGGCAGCGTCCGTCCGGACAAAGCTCGGCGCTTTGCACCCGCCGCGCCGCATCAAGCATCCAGCGATCCTTATGCGCATCCGCAGATCACGCCAACGTCTGGTACCACGCTACCAGTTCGCCGCGTGAACCACGGTGGTGCCCCGGCGGCGACACCAAGCCTGCTGTGCCCATCCGCTTTCACATGAGACATGAACGCCAAGACGTAAACCACGGCGGCGCCTCGGCAGTAGCACCATGCGGTTGTGGCGGGCCATTGTCTGCCTGCGATCAGCGCGCATTGCAACATGTGCAACACCTAATCTACTTTTGAAACATAAAAATAAAACATTTGCAACATACAACTGAAACAGATGAAACATTTAAAATATGCTCTTAAAACATGTGTGTATAGCAATAACAACGTATGCAACATCTAGATCCACTTTTGCAACATAAGTCTGAAACATCTGAAACACATGAAAACAAAACACTTGAAACATGAAATATTTGAAATATGCTCTTAAAACATGCGTGTATAGCAATACCAATATATGCAACATCCAGATCTACTTTTGCAACATAAGTCTGAAACATCTGAAACACATGAAAACAAAACACTTGAAACATGTGTGTGCAGCCATAGCAAGCATATGCAACATCCAGATGAAAACATGCGTCTGAACCAACTGCAACACTTTGAACATAGGCTTGAAACACGCGTATATTGTCATTGCAACATATGCAAAATCACATATCTACTTTTGCAACATCCAGATGAAAACACTTGAAATATAAGTTTGAAACGCTTGAAACACTTGAAACACAAGCGTCATGACGCCCACAAAATTACCCGGTGGGGAACTCGGTAGTCAAGAACCTCGAAGTTACGGGGCGTCAAGAACAACGGTCCAAAGATACAAACCAAAGGCGCAACGCGAGCCTCCCTTCCTACCGACGGGCGCTACTGGATGGGGTGCAGCGCGAGCCTCCCCCTCTCCTCTGCGACGCGCGACGGGCGAGGTGGATGGGGGCGTGGCGCAGAGCAGCGCGGGATGTGCCCGGACGTGGCGGCAGAGAGGAAGGCGGGCGGGAGGCGCGGCGGAGCGTGGTCACGCAGAGCGCAGTCATGGACTCACGGCGCTGCGGCGATATTTTTTTTAAGAAATTGCAGTACCTGAAGGGGAGCAGATATAGGAGCGGATAAAAAAGACCCATGGGCATCACGGCCCTCCAACGGGATCATCCGGATGGGCGGATGTCCTAGACAGAGCATTACCGTTTCTTTAAATAAGGGTAGATGCCTCTGGAACCTAGGATGAAAAGAAGGTGAGCATGTGGGACTCAAACTCAGGTGGACAAGGAGGCGAGCATACGTGAGCGCAACTTGACCACAGGTTGGTCTTCTTTTCGTTCTAGAGTTGGTGTATGACCATACCTTGCCACGTCACAGGTTAGTTAAGCTATAGTTTTTTTCGAAGTTGTTTGGTTCGTTGCCACACAACGATACAAATTTCGTTTTTTGTAAGTAACGATCGTAAATTATTTATCACTTTGGCTAGTTTGGTGTGAGAAAAATACTTTGTTTCAAATTTATAATCCACGATCGTGCTCTGAAGCAAAGTTTAACATCTTTGTATATATGACGTGTCATAAGTTTTTAGCACCATATTCCACATATTATAGACTCATTTTCTTGCAAAACTTTGCCACAAATGTGACTTAAATTTTGCTCGCCACACTTTCTATGACAACCAAAGTTTGCCGAATGCTAGGTTTGGCAAACTACGTCAACAACCAAACAGATCGTGTGGCTGAACAAAATCGATGGATTTTTTTTGGTTGTAAATATAATTGCTAGAAGAAGCTTTCCTACCGATCACTCAAAAACAAGGACTGATCAGCAGCCATCTAGTCAGTTCTCAGTTGTCTGTGGTCTTTGTCTTTATATGTTTGTGCCTGGTTTAGATTGGGATTAGGAATCAGTAGTTGGCACTGTAGCACTTTCGTTTGTATTTGACAATTATTGTCCAATCATAGCCTAACTAGACTCAAAAGATTCGTCTCGTAATTTAAAATCAAACTGTGTAATTAGTTTTTTTATCTACATTTAATACTCCATACATGTGTTCAAATATTTGATAGGATAAAGAGAGAGTGAAAAAACTTGCAATCTAAACAAAGGCCTTGATATCATCTCCGAACCTGCTAGCGTTTGATGGCCGCGTGATGTCCAACAAAGCATAGTTGTGTGGGCCAAATGAAAGCCTTACCCAATCTTGTTTTTTGAGGAGGGGGGAAATTCCATGCAGGAAAATGTCCAAGAAAAAAGTCCCCATTGGTTGTCCTGTTGAAGTTTCAAAGCCATGCTTTCCCTGTGCAAAATGACATGGACCCATCAGCATCAGATGTACCTCTCTTGGCATCAAGCATCAGAAATTCCCCACCACGCATTCTATAACTAACTCTGTGCAAATCTGAGTCTTTTTATTGTTTTTTTTTGGAAAGCTTACATACATTTTTACACGCAAGCCTTTTGCTTGATTAAGAAAAAAATATTGGAGGATGGATGTACATAGGTAGTATCGAAGCTTACTAGTCGATGTGGACATGAACCCTATTATAAAAGTTGAGTACATTCATACCATGCAATTGGATAACAATAATGTGGGAAAATACAATTCAACGTCCAAGTACAGTGCAGGTGATGTGGGCCTGCGTCCATTCCTGGCATCAAGAGCTGGAACCACAGAGCAGGACACATTGACGGCTGGGATGGAAGAGGATTATCTTTTTGCTTTGGCAATGATGTAAAGGCTAAGCATCTCTTTTGCCTGTTCCCCGGAAAATTAAACAAAGTGCAGTCCTTGGACACTGTACTGTACACAGGAGCCGGCCATTATTGAAAGGAGAAAAAGGTCAGTCAGTACCAATGGATTAACAAATACTAGCTACAGGAGAAAACCCCAATTAGAATAATAGGATCTGTGCTCTCTTCTACCTTCTGCCTTTTCTGTTGTGTAAAACAAGCTTAGGGTGAGTTGAAGTGTACAAATACGACAGCCCTTTTTTTTGGGTGCAAATCTAGAAAAATTAGGTGGTTTGGTTGGTGTAGCAAGAAAATGCAAAAATGATTCACATACAACTCACCGGGACAACCTCTAATGACCCAAAATAAGTAGTCATTAATGTCCAGGGAGATAAATTAGCAAGAAGTTAAGGATTAGTGCCAATTCAAACAACGTCAACACGTGTACTCTCTTCTTCTACTCTCTCCTTTCTAAATTATAAATCATTCTGGTTTTTCTAGATAAATAATTTTTATTTATATATCTAGATATAATATATATCTAAACGTAAAACAAAAACTATATATTTGAAAAGCCAAATAGGTACGCCAAGGCCTCGATGCCAATCTAACTTCTTTGAAAATTTTCTGCTCGTAGCATTTTCATATACGACAACAAATCCGTTGCTTTCGCGGATGAAAGTTTCTGTCTGACCGTTTGTGTGGCGGCATCAATTTTTTCCACCAACAGCACACCATTTATGCATTTATACATGGCTCAAAAATTAACTGTGCTCTGCTCCAGCAATTTTTTTGTAAATTTTTAATCTTTTTTCATACTGTCCTGGTCCTGTACTCCTGTGCTTGGTGGTTTGGCTCCTCCTCGGGATGTTCTTCCTGCTCCCCTCCAGACCAAACCCCAAACCCAAGCACCCAAATCCGACCCCGACCCCCAAAACGCCTGCTTCTCAGTGATGGTCTGATGGATGCTCCCCTCCTGCTCTAGCCCCAACTCGCGCTGCCTCGCTTCCTCCCTTCGTGACGCCAGCATTTCGTCGCCGGCGGCGGCGCCTTATCCTCCTCTGCCCTTCTTGTGGGTGAGATGAGATAAACAACCGGTTCTTTTTCTTTACTGCTGTTTCTGAAGGTTTCGGGGCCAGCGCAGCCGGATCCCGGCTCCACGGCCGCCGCCGCCGCAGCTCCTCGACCTGGTGGAGCTGGTGGTGCGGAGGGGAGGGAAGATCCATCCGGAGGTGGCGGTTCTATTTCTTGTTTTCCTGGTGAGTAATCCTAGGTTGCTTGCTTGTATAGAGATGGTTCTTTTGGTAGTTCTGTCCTGACGGACTGCGGCTGCGGCCGCGAGCAGGAAGTCCGAATCTTTCTCGCTTTCCGCCCAAATTTGCAGCACCTGTGTTAGTTGGTACCCAAAGCGTGGGTGCAGTTTATTTTTCCCAAAGATTTTGGGGTTCACTGAACCCGTATTTCAATCAGCCAGGCCGGCATATGCTTTATGCTTATTTTTAATGTTGATGAGTTGAAGCTTTGTGCATGCTCTAATCAGGTTTTGTTCATGTAGATTGCCCAAGCAACTGTGGACATGAAGAGGCTTCTGTGGTGCTGTTGAAGAATTAGTGCCAGTCTAAGATTTCTCCCGATGGATAAGCACAACAACCCCAAGAATGGGGAAGTGGGGAGCAATGTGTTTCGTAGGATGATTCTTAATCAGATTGCTGGGGACTTAGGTTTGGATGAGGAGAATGTGCCTTGCAATACTCCAAGAAACTCTGTTCACTCCGCATTTGGTGGCTCATCAGGTGGCAGGGCAGTTGCTTCTACTAGCGGCAGCCGCAACACTGATTCGGTGAGCCCAGGCGAGTATGTGGGGGATCCTGGATCCCTACTGAGTTTACAACCATGGATTTTTAGAAGAAACGGCTCACAGAACCGTGGGGAAAGTGTGCTTGCGAGTGGTAGCAAGGCAGCTGGTAAAGGCAAGAATCTGGTCAATACCCTTCGAGTGGGTCAAGCTGTTGAAGTCACTCCAAGGAGCCCTGCTCTTGGTTCTGGGCCTGGAAGAGGTTGTGGAGCTCGTAGGAGCAGAAGATCTCGTAGGAATTTGATGAAGCCACTTGTGCCAATGGACAACTCCTCGTTCCACAGCTTTACAGTGAGAACTTTGAAATTGAAGAGTGCACGTTTGCTCCAGCTCCCTCTCCAGCTTCTGTTAGGCCATTCATTGTGACAGATGGTAGAAGGATAATTAGTAAATCATGCTATGAGCCAGTACCTCTGCCCTTTAATATCAGATTAGACAAGGAGGAATGTAGAGGCACCTCAGTGAAGCCAGGAAGTCTGATTGGAATTGCTCCTCTACCTGACCTGAAGAAACTCAAACATGAGTCCAGAAATTCACACGATGCAAGGCTTGGTCTGTCTGGTTCTCAGCGAAGTAGCAAATCACATGAACAAGCAGGTACTTACTTTCAGCATCATTCCTCAACGTTTGCTACATGATTATAGCCGAGGAATCCCATGCTTGAAATAATTAGCTTCCAAAATGTTCTCCCTATCATATACTATGCATTAAATGGAAGTGTTTCTCATATCGATTAGGTCTGTCAATGCAGTTTGAAGTAAAAACTAAACATTCAAAATAAATTGCTAACTCCTAAGATAAATGGAAATCTTATAGTTAGACTGCAAGAATTTTAGACTTTTGTCATAAGTATATGCATAGTCCTTTGTCCTTTGTGCTGTTTTGTGACTGGTACCGTTACTATCACATAGGAAACTTTCATCTGCCATTTTTGTATAAACTCAAATCAAACATCCATGGTCAGGTAATACTAATTAATTGTACCTGTAGAGAGTTTGTGATGACTCATGTCATGTGGACTGTGGAGCTTCTGTTCCTTTTGACTGATGATCCCAGTTGAATTATCTTGTGACTTGTTAATTGTTATGCCATACTCTTCACTAGCAAGTTCTGATATCATCATAATCTAAATACTGAAACAATGGTTCCAACTTCCAAGACATGAATTATTCTATGCTCACTGCTCTGACAACCACTGATTTATATTGCATTAAGGAGAAGAAATACGCAAGAAGTACAAACCCCAACACACACAAACAAACACACTCAAACACACCCAACCTCAACAAGTCGCATTTGCACCAGGTACAAAGAAAAACATGACCTCCACCAAGCCACCTTGCAGCCTCAAGAGACGACTGCACCCAGCTGGCTAAACCCCCAACTCGTGCTAGACACCACAGCTCACCCTCTTCCAGGATAAACTTTAGGATCTGCTGAACATTAGGGGAAGCACCATTGAAAAACGAAATCATTGCAGTGTTTCAACAACATCCAAGGACCCAAGACAACCAGAGAATTAAGGCCCAGCTTCATGCTGCCCCGAATGTAATCATTAATCCTCAAGCAACAGTCACTGAGCACCACATATCCGGCCTGAGGGGAAGGGGAGAGTCCAACTCGCTGGAGAAGAAGCGACACCTACCTGGAAGATGGTCTCTTCTTCTTGATCGCATAAAGGGCAGTGGCTCAGGTGTGGAAGGCCCTTCTTAGCTAGTCAGTCTGCTGTCCAGCACCTACCATGTGCAGCAAGGCATAAGAAAAATTGGCATTTCTTTGGTGCCCAAGTTCTCCATATAATACAACAGAACCAAAGAAAAATGCTTGTAAGCTGACTTTGCGGAATATTGGCCAGACTCAGTAAGCCTCCACAGTAGACATCAGGCTGCAAAACAACATCAGAAACAAACTCCCAGATATCCATGTATTCCAAAATAGCAGCAACCGAGAGGGCACCCTGAATGTCCTGAATCCATTGAGAATTTGTGAATGCTTGTAATCATATTATCAGTTCTCTGAGTTCACTTTTCATTTATGTTTCTGCTACATACTTTCCTTTGGCATCATTGGTAGTACAGTTCTGTAGTCTAATTTCACACATGAGGACTTTTAGACACTCATCGTCTCAGTAACCTCTTTCACGTGCTGCTAATGACTGTAATTGAAGTAAATCCCAACCAGTAAGGTTATATTGAACGGTGACCTCTCCCGACCCCTCCTCTCCCTCCCCCACCGTCTCAGTAACCTCTAGCCAGCAAGCACGGCACCGGGTCTCCTTTTATGCTGATGACGCGGTTATATTTTTGAGACAATACAATTTGGATCTGGTCACTGTTAGACATCTCCTGGAATTGTTTGGACATGCCTCTGGTCTTAAAACCAACCTGTCCAAGAGTTCAGTTTCCTCTATTCAGTGTGCTGAGGAGGAGTTGACACTCACGGCAAACATCCTCTCATGTCCCATAAAGGCTTCCCCTTGTACATATCTTGGCCTCCCACTCTCAATTGGAAAACCAACTAAAGAGGTGCTACTACCTTTAGTGGACAAGGTGGCAGAGTATCTCCCGGGATGGAAGGCTTCTCTAATGAATAGGGCTGGGCGGTTAGTCATGGTGAAGGTCGTGCTGACTGCTGTCCCAATATATCTTTTAATAGCCTTGGACCTTCCAAAATGGGTGCTTAAGGCTATTGATAAAAAGCGGAGAGGATTCCTTTGGAAGGGTCGCCAACAGGCCAATGGTGGCAATTGCCTGGTAGCTTGGGAAAAAGTACAGAGACCACTGGAATATGGAGGCCTTGGGATTCATAATCTCGAACTTCTTGGTTGGGCTCTTAGGATTCGGTGGCTCTGGGTGCAAAAGACAGTTGCTGAGTGGCCTTGGGCTGGCCTTCCTATCACTGTTCCTCATAAAGCCCGGGCCCTCTTCAATGTTGCAGTTGATGCCATAGTCGGAAATGGAGAGGAAATCTTGTTCTGGACAGATAGATGGTTGGATGGGCATACAATGGCTGAAATAGTGCCTAACCTGTTCAAAACAGTCCAAAAACGAACAGCCAAAAGGAGGACTGTGGCTCAAGCACTGCATAATAGAAGTTGGGTACAAGATATTAAGGGAGCTCTTACAGTAGAGGTCTTCCTTGATTACCTCCACATTTGGGATATTGTGGATGGAATTATTTTGCATCCGGAGATTCCAGACCTTTTTAGTTGGAAATTATCACATGATGGTTCTTACAGCAGTAAATCTGCCTGTGCAGCCTTCTTTGTGACATCATTGACGAAATCTGCCTGTTCATGGAGAAGGATCTGGAAAACCTGGGCTCCCCCGCGCTGTAAGTTTTTCATCTGGCTGGTGTTCCACAATCGGGTTTGGACAGCTGATCGACTAGCAAAGAGGAATCTGGCCCATCCTGAGTCTTGTCCCTTATGTGATCAAGAAGATGAAACAATAAATCATTTGCTAGTGGGCTGTGTATTCACTCGACAAGTTTGGTCCCTGGTTCTACAACAGTTAGGACTGCTGCAGTTGGCACCACAGCCTACTGTGACCCGTTTCTCGGGGTGGTGGAAGAGGTCAACTGCAGCTGTCCTCAAGGAAGCGCGTAAAGGCCTCAACTCCTTGATAATTTTGGTGGCATGGGAGATTTGGAAGCATCGCAACTCTTGTGTCTTTGATAATAAGAGGCCAAGCGTTCAGGAGGTCCTTAGGGCTATTAACTCAGAGGGAGGGCTCTAGTGCTCGGCAGGGGCCTCCAAACTCCAGGAACTTGTATTTAGGTCGCTGCCTGCTGGAGCTTAAAGCACGGAGGTTTTTTTTTGTCGTTTCTGTTATTTTGTGTGGCGAGTCTGTAACTTAGTGTCCTGGGTGTGGGGTGTGTGAGTTGGGTCTCTTAGACTCTTGTAACATTTTTTCTACCTTAACGAGGTGTGGAGATGCCTCGGGGACATAGCTATAGTATGGCTAACCAAACTGTTCAACCATATTTTTCGATCGAACAAGATGCCTGATGAGTGGAGAAGTATATTGGTACCGATCTACAAGAATAAAGGGGATATTCAAAGTTGTACTAATTATCGGGGAATTAAGTTGATGAGCCATACTATGAAGCTATGGGAGAGAGTTATCGAGCATCGCTTGAGAGCAATAACGCGGGTCTCTGTGAACCAATTTGGTTTCATGCCCGGAAGGTCAACCATGGAAGCCATTTTCTTAATAAGACAAGTTATGGAGCGGTATAGGGAGAAGAAGAAGGACATACACATGGTTTTTATTGACTTGGAGAAGGCTTATGATAAAATACCAAGGAATGTTATGTGGTGGGCTTTGGACAAACATAAAGTCCCAACGAAGTACGTCGGGCTCATTAAGGACATGTACAACAATGTTGTGACTAGAGTTCGAACAAGTGATGGAGACACGGATGACTTTCCGATTAGGATAGGACTACATCAAGGGTCAGCTTTGAGCCCTTATTTGTTTGCTTTAGTGATGGATGAGGTCACAAGGGACATACAAGGGGACATCCCTTGGTGTATGCTTTTCGCGGACGATGTAGTGCTAGTTGATGAAAGCCGGACAGGAGTGAATCAGAAACTGGAGTTATGGCGGGAGACTTTGGAGTCCAAAGGTTTTAGACTCAATGAACTAAAAACTGAGTATATGAGATGTGACTTCGGCACTACTACTACTCGGGAGGAGGAAGATGTTAGTTTGGAAGGTCAAGTAGTGCCTAGGAAGGATACCTTTCGATATTTAGGATCAATGCTACAGAGGGACGGGGACATTGATGAAGATGTTAGCCATAGAATCAAAGCAGGGTGGATGAAGTGGCGGCAAGCGTCTGGTGTCCTATGTGACAAAAGGGTACCACAGAAGCTAAAAGGCAAGTTTTATAGGACGGCGATTAGACCTGCTATGTTGTATGGTGCAGAATGTTGGCCTACGAAAAGACGACATGTTCAACAGCTAAGTGTCGCGGAAATGCGTATGTTGCGTTGGATTTGCGGTCATACAAGAAGGGATCGAGTTCGGAACGATGATATACGTGATAGATTAGGGGTAGCGCCAATTGAAGAAAAGCTTGTCCAACACCGGTTGAGATGGTTTGGACATGTGCAACGGTGACCCCCAGAGGCACCGGTGCGTAGTGGCATCCTAAGCCAGGATAGTAACGTGAAGAGAGGCAGAGGAAGACCGAAGTTGACTTGGGTAGAGGCAATAAAAGGAGACTTGAAAGGATGGAATATACCCAAAGACTTAGCCTTAGATAGGAGTGCTTGGAAGACAGCTATTCACGTGCCTGAACCTTGATTGCTTCTGATGGGTTTCAACTCTAGCCTACCCCAACTTGTTTGGGACTTAAAGGCTTTGTTGTTGTTGTTGTTGTAATGAAATGACGCACAGTTCTCCTGCGCTGTACGAGAAAAAAAATATTGAAGGGTGACTTCTCTCTATGAATGGCATGCTTCATTGAATTCATTCCATTTTAGATTTTTCCCTCCTCTTTAAAGCATTTGGCACATCCTAAATATGCATATTTGATCTGCAGGTTTACGTGATCGACTACTCCTATTCTCTATTGGGGTGAGCATCGGTATACTGTTGTCTTCTCTGTCAAACAAGAAGGAATTTGATACGTTGAAGGGCACACTGAAACAAATGGAGAACTTAGTTCAGGATTTACAAGATGAACTGGAGATGAAAGAGGGTTTAACTGTGAAAGAATTGCCTAATGAAACTTCTAGCGAACATGATGGTAAAGTATCAATTGTTTAGAATTTTCTTACAACATTTTTAACTTATTCAAACCAAAAGCTGATGTATCTTATCTGCTAATAATAGATGATAATAACAAACTACACGTAGTTGATCCAGAGCCAATGAGCAAAATCGAAGCTGAGCTTGAAGCTGAGCTTGCAAGACTGGAACTGAATATCACTTCGAAACGTTTGGAAGAAGAAATATCTGACTTTAATGAGGTAGCTATCTTTCACCAAAATATTCCACATACATCTGTATGTAGCCTACAATTCTATTTATTGAAATTCTGCATGTGTAGGTTGACGAGGAGTTCATTGGTGACATTGTTTGTGGGGAACTGAAAGCTGATGTGATCCCTCGTGACCACACAGATTACAGCAGTGAATGTGACCATGGCAGGGACAGCAGGGAAAGTTCCCCAGATTACACATGTGGAGCAAACTATCCCGTCTCGCCAAGAGATCTCAGCATTCGTCTCCACAAGGTGATCCAACGTAGGCTTGAAGACCGAATCAAGGAGCTTGAGTCAGCAATTGCCCACAGGCAGAAGCAGAGGCAAGTGCAGATGATGGTGACTGATCAAATATTCTCTGAACGAATATGCTCAAACAGTGAGTCAGGTTCATCTTCAGGCCAGGGAAGTCCCATTTTCATACAAGAAACTAGCTCCTTGGCAGAACCATATTGTCTAAACCTATCTGGAGACGCACTTGAAGCTTATGACGAAGCTTACGAAGAATTCATGAGAATTGCTGACTCCCCTTGCACCACTAGTACAAACGGGAAGCCACAGGCAAACGAAGATTACTTGGTAGACCGTGGGTTAATCTGGGGAATGGAGGACAGCTCTAGGAAGCTGAAAGAAGTACCCACTTGGGAGAGAGCTCTAAAGAGTGCAGATCCTAGCAGAGATCAAGAAAGTGATAGAGATGAGTCAGGTGACACGACGATGACGACGACGACTGTAAAGTGCTGATTCAGCAGATTGTAGAGAGAACTAAACAAGGTTCACCTGTACTCGTTAACGCTCAAAAGCTTCTGTTTTCTGTGGATCAATAGGCCCCTGCACTATACACCATTGATTTTTGAGATATAGTATGTAGTGTTGAATTATTATTGAGAAAAGGAAAATATTAATTGTTTTGAGGTTTCTTCTCGTGATGTCTTTTCAGTGCTTACAGAATGCAACCCATTGCTGCTGTATATGGCTATGACTATGAGCCTACGACACACAACAGAGATGCTGCTTCCATCTGAATACTTCATTTTTCTGAATTTTCGTCTGGGTCAGGCATGCTCGGACAAGGACATTCATATGAACATGTTGTAAGATCCAGCCAGAATAATCTGGGCCGGAAACCAAACCAGATGAAACTGAAAAACGCATACAGGAACACAGACGAGAATAAGCTAGCATATGAAGGTATCGGTAAAAAGTAACTAGGTACATCTGGCCTTTAGGAATGACACATTTCACTGGAACATAATGAAGTTGGTAAATCAAATGTTTTGGCTACCAGATACCAAGCCTATTCATCAATATTCTTCCTGTGGGATCTCCAAGTGACCTTGACTGAAACCGCCCCAAAGTCCCCTAGCTCTGCCACTTCTTCATCCGTCCCATAGTAGCCAGAGGCGAAGCTACATTGCCACCGTGAGCATGGCACCAGTTTCTGGCCAACGTTAGGATGGTCTCTTGGATACCCTTTGATGTATATGGCGAAAAAAAAAAACAAGTGAACTAACCATAGTCACGCTGGTCTACAAGCGTTTATAGTTTCCTGCCTTCTGCTTTAATAATTTAGCCAACGCACCAAAGGTTGGTCAAGTTTCAGGGTCATATATGGCCCATAACCATTCCAACTCATTATAAGGTGAAAATTAGGTTAATATTTTTCTAAACAAGGTATAGATCTAGAGACTTATACACACACATGCATACAACTTCTATTAACACACATGAGCACCTCGTTGTTAATGGATTCATATACCAATTTTACCATAAACAGCTTGTGATTGTCGATGGAATCATACCAACAACTCAATTTCCACTTAGCAATGGATGGAGAGTGCATCTCTACCAACAGGAGTGCCACGCCAATAATACTATGATGAGGGTTAAAGTGTAATATCCCTTCTGTTACGGTTTTGGCTTGGTTTGATTTGCGTGCCCATCGCTGTGGATGGCATGATACCATTTTGGGCCCGTTAAATTTGGTATGAAAAATGCACTGTTCATGCTGAAAACACTGTTCCGGCTAAAATGTTGTGAGAGAAAAACACTGTTTCGGCTGAAAAAAGAAGCCGAACAAGCCGGCTTTTTGGTCAGCTGAAAAAGGCTTTATGATATATATATATATATATATATATATATATATATATATATATATATATATCCTATTGTTTTATGATATATAAATATAGCAATTCCCATAATTGAAAAGCTTAGCTTTATGATATATATATATATATATATATATATATATATATATATATATATATCTCCTATTGTTTTTTTCATTAATTATAGGCCAATCTTATGGCACTGGCGGAATCCTATGCCAACAGATTGGTGGGACAAGTCACGACTCTTGGCATGTCATCTTTGCTTCTCAACGAAGCCAAGCAACAAGTGCAGATCTGGGTTCCCCCATGCTGGACCGGGCCTCCTCACCAGGTTTAGAGACAAGTTATTAACATCCTATGGTGACAAATATATGTTACTTTTATAGTTTGTATACTAATATGAAATTACACCCTGCTGATGAGACGAGCGAATGCCGAGACAGGAAAAAGAGTGATGCCACCATATCTAAAGTGCGGTTGCAGTAGCTTATTATGTGGTGAACTGGTGATAGATACATTGATTGCTTCCTGTAGGGGCATGTGATTGTCAATTGTTCATATTTAGTATATCAATTTTACCATAAACAACTCGTGATTATTATCAACGGAGTCATATATCAACAAAGCTCCATAATTTCCATTTATCAATGGATGGAGAGTGTACTCAACCAACAGGAGTTTCATGCCAATAATAATGTGACGAGGGTTAAAGTGTAATATCCCCTTCCATTACAGTTTTGGCCTGGTTCGATTTGTGTGCTCATCAGTGTGATTGATATGAGACCATCTTAGATGTATTAACAGATATATCCTATTGTTTTTTCATTAATTGTGGGACAATCTTAAAGCACTGGGGGAATCCTACGCCAACAGATTGGTGGGACTAGCTACTCACGACTCATGGCATGTCCTCTTTGCTTCTCAACGAAGCCAAGCCACAAGCGCGGCTGTGCCGTAGCTATGGCTAGATGCAACGTCTACCACACTACACTTTTAGCTAGTTGTGGCAGTAATATACAATACGACGACAACTGAGCAAGGTGCAGGCCATCCAAGAAATCTCACTACTAGCTAGGAAACAGAGCTACAGAGGTGGTAAAAAAATGTTCTACAACGGAGGCCACATTTATCTGCCTCTTACAACACATCTCTGTTAATCCGGAAAGCATAGGCAGGAGATCCAACCGGCCATGAGACCTGATACCGAGCCTAGTGCCATCAAATCCGGCCTACCTATGAGCCATGCATCATCATATCCTCCTTGGGTGATCCGGGTTCATCCACAATGGATCGGTCCTCCTTACCGAGTTTAAAGACATATGATTAATATCTATCCTACGATGACAAATATAAGCTACTTATATAGTTTTTATACTAACATGAAATTACACTTTGCTGATAAGACGAGTGTGCCGGAAACAGGAAAAAGAGTGATGTCGGGGTATATTCCCTAATACCATATCTAAACACTACCGGACTCAGGCTCTTTGCCGAGTGCCTGTGACACATGGCAAATCCCCATATACACTCGGCAAAGCCTTTGCCGAGTGTAACCCTCGGCAAAGCCGGTGACGGCAAAGACCTCTTTGCCGAGTACCCGTAAACCACTCAGCAAAGAAAAATTGTCTGACGGCGCCAATTGACGGTGACGGTCGCTTTGCCGAGTGCCTCACGGGGGGCACTCGACAAAGCCCGTCCTCTTTGCCGGGTGTCAATCCCACTACACTTGGCAAAGGTGGCCGCTTTGCTGAGTGCCTAATTGACGGCACTCGGCAAATGCAGGGAGGCTTTGCCGAGTGTCTTACTTGTGGCACTTGGGAAAGGCAGGGAGGCTTTGTCGAGTGCCTTACTTGTGGCACTCGGCAAAGCCTCCCTGCCTTTGCCGAGTGCAATGGTCATAGCACTCGGCAAAGCCTCCCAGCTTTGCCGAGTGTCTTGGTGATTGCACTCGGCATAGCTGGGAAATTTGCTTTTTTTTTGCATTTTTTTGTTTATTGCATCCACACATACATATATCACACAACCATCACACATATATATATCACATATCACACAACAATCACATATATCATACAACCATCACATATAATCCATAACTATGACAAATATCATCACAAGTTGTCCACAAGTATCACATAGTCCACAAATATCATCCAAGTGCCGCCACAAGTGCCACCATTCACAAATAAGCATCACAAGCACAAGTCCATCTACCTCTATTATTGACGGCCACTCCACCGGTCCCACTTCGACGGAGGTGTGCCCTGAGCTGGAGGTGTGCCATGAACATCATTCGCCGCCGCCGATTGCCCCTGCACAAAAGAGAAGTGATTGAATGTGTGAGACAAGATTTAAGGTAGGTTCTAAAAACTTGAAAAAAACAACATATTAGTGTCAGTTTAAAATTTCGGCAGCACCTCCCCTGCACGGTGAGGTGTCCAAAACCTACAACAAAACAACGGTACGATGACCGACAACCACATATGCATATTCACATATCATGGTGCATTTGTCTCAACATATCATTTGGATTCACATTCTTATATCCATATCCACATTCACATTTAGATTTAAGGTAGAGAAACTCACAGGAGTGACAGCAGGATCATTTGGTGGAGTGAATATCATCGGTGGCGGAACATAGCCTGAGTGAGCTCCAAGACCTTGAATATACTGAAACATATGCTCCATCCTTCGTTGATCCTCCTCAGCCCTCGCCTCAGCCTCCTCCCGTCGCCTCCTCTCTTCCGCCACCTCGGCCTACAATATTTCACCCCAATGATACAACGCAAAGCAAAGGTATGTAAAAATCAATGAACGACGAATAAAACAAAAATAACCTTGAGTGCCTGCACCGTGTGCTATGTACAGTCCTGCCGTGTGCGTATGGCCGGGCTCGAGCTCGTGCTCCTTGCTCGAATCTCGGAGAGAGACCTAGTACGGGTCGGGTCGATTGCGCCGTCGCCAATCCAGTACCACCCGTGCTTCTTCCCTCCTCCCAACCTCATGATGACTTCTCCATCAAGGTCCTCGGAGGTGGGATCGTACTCTGGCCCATGGACCTCCCTTGCCATCGCTGTGTACTCAGTGAGGCGGGTGTGGACGGATGAGTTACTGTACGTCTCGGGCGGGTCCTCCGGCTTGTAGTGGACGTCGGACGTCGCCTTGCCCTTGTGGGCCATTGCCCACGCCTCGAACTGGGAGACGAGCGCGCCACCATGTGACGCCGACTGCGAAAGAAACAGCAGGATGACTAGAAATTTGCATAGTTGAGCTTTAGAATAAAGAAATAGATTCAGCGTACCCATTTAGCTGCGTAGGCCGGGAGGCAAAGGTTGCCTTGATGGTGTGGTGCACCAGGCATCATCAAACGCTGCTCCCGGCAAGCGTTGTGCATCTCCCACCACTCGGGGCTGCACCACTTGTCCACCATTGCCTCCCAGCAGTCTTCGTGCCCAGTGCACCACCACGGAACCACCTACACGACATCAAGTATATGTAGATCAAATTAAGCTTATTTAATCTTAGAAAAAATCAGTATTAATCTTATATATTTACCTTCATGTATTGTTCCTTGGTCAGCGTCTCCTTTCTTGCCTCTTTTTTCGTGACCTTCCTAAACTCGAAGGTCGCGTTGTATGTCACGACGGCCTGGAGGCGCGCCTCGTAGTGCATGTCACCCACGAGTTTGTGACAAGCTTTGTTAGCCGCCGCCCTCGCTGCCACCTCCCATCCCGGCTCGCATCTGAAGAAATCCTGTATGTAGACGCAATGTATCCTATCATTATTTGAAGAATGTCCAATGAATGTGATGAATTGAGCAGTGTAGTGAGATGAAGACTTACCCACAGCTCCATAATCACCCGCTCTGCCTTGTGGCCGTAGATCCTGCCATCCCGATCATATGCATCTGCGTAGACGGTGTAGTGGGCAAACGTCCAGGCTGGCTGCCGCACTCCGGCAAAGTCAACAAAGCCAGGGAAGTGTGTCTTGCACAAAAGATCAAGAACGCCATTGGGATGGCGTCCGTGACCACCTGCACCCACAATCACGAAACCCCTGCCCAAGTGATCAAGAAAAATTATTAGTTTCAA